TGTTTGTCAGTACTGCTGAGGGCAATGGGGCGGACCTGCGAGGCTTCTCTGGAGACTTCGGGGAGACTGGCTACGGTGGGAGCGAGCGCCTTTGGGAGGAACGCAGTGATGGACTCGTTGGACCTCTCGTGCTGGGGACAGAAGGCGGGATTGTTGAGGGCCTCAAGATGCACTTGGTGAAAGGCAGCATGGGCCCGCCCGCTGGCGCGCCCAGGCACTGCATGGGACGCCGTCTAGGCCCGTCGCGGAGTCTCGGCGACCATAGAGCTTGCCTGGGACGCGATGGAAGTCGAGCTTCCACTCGATACCTGGCGCAGCAGTCTGAACTTTACCTGCGCTGGTAGTGGTGCCCCTGTGATCTCTCCTTACTTCGATGACCCCCCCCCCAACGGTCGGCATTTTTTTCGCGCTGTCCTCCAAGTTTGGAAAAACGCGGCCAGTGGGATCAGAGGCCGAGGCCAGGAGAATCCTCCTACCCTCCCCCTCCTCCTCGGGGACCACTCCTGAAGAACCTGGTGGAGCCTTTGGGCGCGACCATCCTCTGGGGCACCGCCCCCGGCCACATGATCGCGCAGATCGCGCAGTTGCGGCGCGCGCTGGATAGCGGCCAACTCCCGATGAAAACTCAGCCGATCCGGCGCGTGAGCTACAGGGGCCTCAGCAAGAGCTTCATCTCTGAGCCTATAAGCAAGAGCTCCAGCTCTGCTTGGGGGGGTCGCCGGGGCGGCTCTGCCGGAGAAGGGGGAGGGGAGGGTCATCTGGCGTTTTCTTCGCGATTTGCGCATCCGGATCCTCCCCGGGGAAGGCGGGGGGAGGAGGGGGGGAGGGGGGGCCCCCCATCTGGCGTTTTCTATATGATTTGTGCAACCCCAAGATGCTTCGGGGGGCCCCAATGGCCCCGCTCAGATCTAGCCGCTACCGCCCTCGAGACCCCCCCCTCGGAACCCTCCCCGGACCCCCCTGGGGCCGCTCCGGGCGCGCTCCAGAGGAGGAGAGAAGGCCGGGGGATCCGCGTGGATCACCGAATCCGGAGCCTCCCGGATTGGCGGCACTGGCCAGAGGCCATTACGATAGGAGCATTACACCTGAGAAAAACCAAAGCAAAATGATTTGTAACCAATACTATGGATCTTGAGAACGCGATTGTGATATATCGATACCGGGATCGATAATGGAATCGATAGTGCGGACGATTGTAAGGTCGATCGTGAGTCCGAGAGTAAAACCGATTCAATGATATCGATAGGGAGATCGATCGCGAGATCGCTCATGCGATCTCTAGAGTGAGATCGCTTGTGAGATTGATAATGGCATCGATTGTGAGATCGATAGTGAGATCGATCGAGAAATCGGTAATGAGATCGACGGTGAGACCGATCGATAAGAAAATCGACCAAGAACCCAGGAACCCGGGAACCTCGCCGCCCTCCGAAATCGGCCCGGAGACCGGAACTGGGAACCCACGAACCGGGAACCCGGGAACCCGGGAACCCAGCGCGCGACCAAAATCGGGGGGCACTGTCGCCAAATCCTTCAACATCCGCGAGGACCCCTTCAATGCAAGTACTGATTGGGGAACATTGAGTGAGATCCGTAATGAACTCGACAGTGAGATCGGTCGTGAAATCGATAGTTAACTATTGGCCCGGAACAAATTATCAAGACCCCGGGAACCTGGAACCGGGAACCCGGGCCCCCATGAGATCCGTATAATGAACTCGACAGTGAGATCGGCAGTGAACCATCGGCCCGGAACCAACGACCAGGAACCCGGGAACCCGGGAACCCGGGAACCCATGCAGCGCAGGACCAACATCGGCGAGGCACTTTCGCCAAATCCTTCAACATCCGCGAGGACCTCTTCAGTGCAAGCACTGATTGGGGAATCTCTGAAACTACAATCATCTAGATCAGCGCGTAGGCTAAGATGAGGTAGAGCACGAATACATCTAGCTACCCCCCAAGACATGCCATCTCGAGTACTTCGAACCAGCTTCATGCATACCGAGAGCTTCTGAGCGTCAGTTTTCGGCCCGTGAGAGAACGTGGCAGACATCGGCGCACCCTCGGCAACGAACGTCGCACCCTTGACGGCGAGCAGCTCATCGAAAGGGTCGGTGGGAGAGCGGCGGAATCCCAGGCCTCGTCGATTTCGCGGGCGAAGTGGGGCGCTCGGCTATACAGGGGGGGGGGGGGGGGGGGGGGGGGGGGGGCGACGGAGTGGCGCGACTGCGCGGCGCGAACTTCAACCATGCAGGAATACGGTCGCCAGGCAGAGACACATCATGCGCAAGACCAATGATTCCGCTACGAGGAGCAGCATCGAAAAATATCAGCGGTAGAAGCAGACAGATAAAACCGATCCAGCCTTCCCAGACTGAGAACACCACCATCCCTCCTCCAAGATAGGAATGTCGGTTCAGGCTGTGCAATCTCGGCATAGGCTCCAAACGATCGAGCGAACTTCCCACGCGTCGCCCCCCCCATCGACCGCGGGCTCTCCACCGCCCGCGCACGTCCGAACCCCCCCCGTCCAAAAGTTGAAATCACCTCCCAATGTCGCAAGAGCTTGGTCAGATGGGAGAGCGAGGGCAGCAGCGGCGCGGATCGCGCGATCCCTCTCGATGTCGGACAGCACAGGGTCGACGCGCATATGACTGAGCTGAAGAGTACCGTGTCTGCCAGACGCGGTGCGGGACAGGCGTCGGCTGGGCGCGATCTCGAGCGGCTGCGCGTTGCGGGGGGGGGGGACAGGGAAGAGGTGGAGACCGAGATCGCGGCCCCTCCAGCGGCAGAGGAGGAGCAGAACGAGCCGCAGTGAGCGCAGCTGGGCACGTCGCGACCCAACGTAGGAACATCTGCGTCCGTCCCGTGCGTTTCCCGCATAAGCACAACCTGGAATTTGCCGATGAGACGCCAGAAGGTTTTCTGTTGCTGTCGCCGTCGGCGCGGATCGCCATAGACACTGCCGAACAAAAAGCCAAATAATTCCACGTCGCGAGTCCCAGGGCACGCGCGAGCATGAAAGGACGCAGCCGCCCCCCCGAACGACGCTTTTTCTCCCAGAGATCAACAGAGGAAGGTGCGGATGCGATTGACGAATGACAGATCCCCGTGCGATGTGCGAATGGACTGAAGAAGAACAATACCATATTCTGCGTCGCCATCGGCATCTGCGCGGCGACTTCGCTCATGTCCTGGCCCAGTAACGTCCCATTCTCAGCGGAGGGCCGACGTGACGAACTCGGGCAGATGATCGATCTGGGCGCCCGTTAATCCGCACTTCTTGAGATTGGCGCGGTTGGGCTCGACTGTCGGGGCTTCTCCTTCCATCGCGTTCTTGAGTTCAGACAGCTCATCGACTAGGTCACCGTTGACGAGGAAAAAACCATGTACTTGTTGCAGCGCAGCTGGATCTGCACCGACCATGTCTTGGTTTCGATCATGGCGTGCCGCACCTGCTGCCAGATCTGGCCTAGAACCCATCCCGTCTTGCGCACATCGATGGGCTCGTCCGTGCCAGCCCTCAGCCTATGCCTGAAACCGCTGCCGTCACCCCAATCGAGCGTCATCGCTCGAAATTGCAGGAAAGCGTTATTGGCGTCCTCTGGGTCCTCAAGCTGGATAACGTACGCGTACTTGCAGCTCGTGGTGACGGCCTGGCAACGGTCACGATGCGTGGGTGACATCAGCTGCTTCACGTGTTCGGAGTGCTTGCTGAAGGCGGACGCCATGAGCGTCACAGGGAAGCCGCGCACCAACAATTTACGACGATCATTGTCTGAGCTCTTCATCTGGTCAAGCGTCTGATGTGGTCCCCATCCCGCAACACGGCTCGAGGTGACCGAGGGCGCGGGCGAGAAGGAAGCCACGGTGATCTTCAGCTCGGCGATGGACTCCTCCATCATGGCAAATTTGTCGGCGTGCTGCGCTTCGATCAGGCCAATCGAGAGGTGGCGGTCGGTCATGTAGAGGTCCTCATCGCTATCTCGCATCGGCTTCATGGCTGCAATCTGGATCTGGATATGTCAGAACTGGTCGTCGTGGCGCTTCAGCTTCTTGCCCACGTCCTCCTTGAGTGTTGCCATCTGCGAGGTGACCTGCCCCATCGACTTGTCATGGTTGTTGATTTTCGTCGGCACCTCGCCCATGTTGGCGAGCAGCAGATCCATCTCCTGTTCCATGGACGCCATCGGGGCGCTGGCCGCGGGCAAAATGCGGCGGCCAAAGAAAGGACCTGCGGCGCGGGTGCTCCCGCGGGGGTCGTGCCTGTGAAAGCCGGTCCTGGCAGGCACGGGGGCCCTGGGCCTCCCTGTCGGCTTGAGCCAACATGGCTACGGAAGGAAGAGAGAAGGGGGATGATGATGATGATGCTGATGCTGATGCTGATGCTGATGATGATGATGATGATGATGATGATGATGATGATGATGATGATGGTGATGCTGATGAAGATGAGGACGATGAAGATGAGGACGACGATGATGATGCTGATGCTGATGCTGATGCTGATGCTGATGATGATGATGATGATGATGATGATGATGATGATGATGATGATGATGATGATGATGATGATGATGATGATGATGATAAGGGAGAGGAGGAGCAGGAGGAGGAGGAGGAGGAGGAGGAGGAGGTGTAGTAGAAGGGGGAGGGCGAGGGCGAGAAGGCGAATTACGTGGATGCGTGGGGGGGACGACGACGACGATCACGAAAAGCTGGACGACGAAGCCGAAGGCGCAGGTGGATCAGAAGCAGGAGAACGCGCAAACACTCTCAGGAGCCACCTTGGCTCAAAAAACGCTGTTTGGGGATACTGGGCTCTGGCTGTGATGCAGCTTGTGGTTTTCCCGAACCGGCGGAGCGACACGCTACCCCGAAATTCCCGACCGTGCTCACCCCGGAGGGCCGCACCCCGTCCTCCCACCGCGGCCGCGGGCCAGACGGGCGCTCCGCCCCGGCAACGGAAAGAGGGCGAGCGCCGCGTGCCCGCGGGCCTCGTGCCGGGACGAGTCGTCCAGGTCCAGGGGCGACACGCGGGGGGGCGGCGGGGGGCTCCGCTGGTAGATCACCTCGGGCTCGGGCGTTGCGCAGTGGGGGCATGCACCTCTCGCGCACCTCGGGTGCCCGCAAGAGGCCCCCTGGGGCCCCCAAAAGGGGCACGTTTCTTCTTCGCCCCCCCATGCTTCGCCCCCCTTATCACGCAACGCCCAACGGGCGCGGAGGGCCATATACGTCGCAATAAAAGCGTGGCGACCAATTGTTCGTAGCTTTCGGCCTCTGCCATGGAGGCCGTTTCCCAGCCGCGGGACCGTCAAACAACGACAGCTCAGGATGAAACGCCAGCCCCGAGGAAGTGGATAAGGGCCGAAGTCGCAACAAAAACACGCAACGTTGGAGGAGAGGGGAGGCCCACATCTCCGACGAGATGGTTTTCAGTCCAGGCGATCTTGTCCTCGATTTCCGCATGAGGGCCCTGGAAACCTTAAAACTGGATCCTGGACGAGAAACTACCCCCTGAGGAACGGGCCGGGTCGGGACCTCTGGGGCCGAGCATTGAAGAAACAACGACGTCGGATGTCTGGGGGAGGAGGAGGAGGAGGAGGAAAAAGACCAGACAATAGTGATTGCTATCAACCGCAGACTCTGCCGGGCCCGACTCGGGGATGTACTGTGGGGGGGCGCCCGTCCTCGATAGGGATGCGTCTGCACAGCCCTCCAGGGAGCGTACCCCCGAATCCCCTACATTTTTCTCAGCGGAAAACTCCTTCGGTGGGACTCGAGGACTGGGGGAGAGACATCGCCCAGCTGGACAAAGTAGTAAGTAAGTGAATGCTCCCCCCCCTTCATGAAATTCCGACGGCGCGCAAAAAAAGCATCGTGCTCAATCTCGACTGGGGCCCTAAACCCCTACTCTCTGCGGGAGTTCCCGAGCCCGATCCATATGTGGCGGCCTCGGCGCCGCAAAACCAAGCGAAAACGCCCGTCGTGGAACAAAACTGCAACGCCCGAATCTCAGGGTTTCTGCGTTGCCACAGGGCCTGCTGTAGATGGTAAAACAAAGTAACCGATCCCGCGGCTCAACTTGGGGAACCAAGAGGAATCAAAACCACCACTCCACGGATCTCTCCCGGGGCGCGCACTGACCAGGATTTCGAGGCGCATCCAGCGGTGGCGACGCGGGCCTCCCAGGAGGCCCGAAAAGCAAAAGCCAGGCGAGGGTAGGGATGTCGGTACCTTGTCCTCCTCTGACCCACACCCGCGCCGCCCCGACGGCGACGAGGCGGGCAGACCCGCCCCGACGGCCGCCCCACCGGGAGCCGACCAGGCGGCGGTCGGCGGAGCCGTCCCCGGGGGTCTCCCGACGGCGACGGAGGAAGAGGACCAACACCGTGACGGCGACGCCGGCCCAGGGAGCCGACCGCCCGCCCGTGGGCGGCGGCGAGGGCCCCCTCCGCCCCGCGCCCCCCGGCCCGCCGCCGAGCCGAGAGGAGCGGCCGGGACGGCGGGGTGCGGCTGCCCGGGCTGGGGCCCGGTGCACGCGCAGCTTGGCCAAGTTGCCCCCCCTGACCCCGGATCCGAAACTGTGGCGAGGTTTCACTTCCCACGGTTACCTGCGCGACTCCCATGTGAAGACGACGACGATTACGACGACGACGACGACGACGACGACGACGACGACGACGACGAAAACGACGCGCCGACTGGTGTAGCCAATTAGTTTGCCATCCTTGTACAAACAAGCTCAAACTTAAACTTCCACTGTCGCGCAGGGTAACCCAAGAAACATTATCCGACGGGAGGAATTACCACACAACAGTATCAAAAACGGCGAACGGTAGTTCGCAAATGATTCCGCGCGCGGTCAACACCGAACAAACTCAGCAATATGATGGCAAGCTCTTACTGCGCACGGTCACTTGCGCGAGCCCCATGAAAACGGCGACGACGATGTTCGAGACGACGACGACGACGACGACGACGACGACGACGACGACGTCAAGGGCGAGGAGACGGGGGCGACGACGATCACGACGACGAGGGCGAGGAGGGGAGGGCGATTATTCCCAGCCGAGAATTTTGGGTGGGGTGCAACATGAAAGGCCCTCTGCGGTTGCGGCGATGCATACACATCGTACGCGCTGGGGCTGGCTTACCGAATCATCCATTAATGGAAATTCCCGGTAACGCTTACTTGGCCCATGCGCTACGCTTCCACAGTGCTTTGACAATACCCCCCTCCCGTTCGTGCTCGTGTTCCTGCTCCCATTGCTGCTCCCCCTCCTGCTCGCGCGACCCCTCTCCCCCTCTGTCCGCCTCTGGCCTCCGTCCTTGTGCGCGACAAGCGTGGCCCGTGGTCGGGGAGCGCCGAGATCCCAGAATGCCCTGGGTCTCCTCCTGGCCCGAAAGGTCCGTCCGCCGTCTGGGCGGCGACGGCAGCCGCCCTCCCAGGGTGCCTTCAAATTCCCCGAAGGCGACTGCATTCGCTCTCTCCCCGAAGGGCGGGGCCAGGAAACAGGGAGGGGGCGAGGCGGGCGGAAGAGTGGGAGGATGTGGGATTAGGACGGCGACAGCCAACAATGGGCCACAAGGGCGAGGAGCGCTGACGGGTACGGACGGGGCGGCGGAAGGGGGGGAGGGGCGGATGGTCTGACGCGTCGGGCCTCCACTCCCCATGAAGACCGAAGAGAGGCTGCGCCGGGGAGGGGTAAACCATTTCCCGAAGCGGAGCATCAAGTTCCCGAAACCACCTTCGCTGGGAAGGCCAGTGAGATTCGCGCCCTCCCCTGGCCCTATGTGCGCGGCAAGCCTGGTGCGGCCGTGGCGCGCAGATCCGTGGCCAGTGTGAGAGTGCAAGGCTGCAATCGCTCAGGGTGTCGACGGGCCCTTCCCTGCGAGGTACAACTTGTACCTCCTGCGTCCCGTGTCGGCACAACTTGCGCCGACAATGTACCCCCTCCCCCCAGTTCACGCACTCGTGTTTTGCGAGTGTGCAGACGGGGGGGTGCGAAGTACAACGGGCAACGCCGAGGTGCAATACCATCGCAACTGAACTGTGTGTGGCATAGAGACGCGCCACGGGGTCGCAGGCACACCTCTGAGTGAGCTGCAGCGGCGATATTGGAGTAACATCGGTATCATCTGGATGCCCGCACGTCGGCGCTCCGCTACTCCTCCCAGGGTTCCAGGACACGGCAACAACTGCACGCGTGGCACTACCCAGGGAGGCCAGGTATGATCTCGATCGTAGCAACGCAAATTGTTTGGCAACACTACTCGCTCTGTTCCTTACCTTTCTCGTTTTCCTCCCTCGTCTTTCCTTGTTTCCTTCTGTCTCCCACTTCCCTGGCTAGCATGGTGCGCACGGAACGGGAAGGCCTAATGTTTTTGTTCGGCCTCAGGCAACGGCTCTGCGGCAGTGGGGTTCACTGCGTCTAAGCGTGTGGCTGCACAGAGACAAACTGCTTTTGATTGCGGCCTCAGTTGATCTCGTCGTCGCACTTGGGCGCGATCGACTGGATTCGCAAGTCTCGCGCCGCCTCTGGCAACCCTGCTTCGATGTAGTACCAGGCGGCGCAGCAGTGTTCAGAGGTTCAGGGGCACGCAGCGAATGGGGGTCCCACAATCGTGTAAGCTCTGGCGTTCCTGCGGTGTTCCGCCGACCGTGTCCCTTTGAGTGCGCGTCAGTATGGCCCTCAATGCGCTGAGCCCCAGTCGGCCAATCGTTCGGGCGAGCTGCGTTGCGAACTCCCCGTGGCCCCCACACGGGTCTACCCCCCATCTAACCTGGCGCGACCGACATCCACTGAGTACCGAACGTGTCTGGACGCAGATGATCTTGAGCAGGGACCGACCGTCCCGGCATTCCTATAGTCCTACCACGAAATTGTCTGAGAACCCAAAAATGTTCTAATAACAATGTTTTTAGAACATAAACCCAATGCGCTAAAACAAAACATTCTCCGCCAGAAATGTTCTAAGACCAGGACGTTTCGCCACTGTCTGATGATCTGGGCAGCACGAGGGGCGGGGGGCGAGCGCGCGATGACGGTCCAGCTGGACGGGTGGGCGGGAAAGGAGAACGACGGGCGACGGCGACGGCCGAGAACGAGGGCGTCCAGGGCCCAGGCCCAGAGGAGGAGCGGGGAGGCCCGCCCAGAAGGAGAGCGGGAAGGCCGATGGGGCCGGGCGAGGCGGGAGGCCCGGGGGGCAGCGGAGGTCCGCGGTCCTGCTTTTCGCAGTGCCACGGGGGCGGAGGCCGACGACGACCTGGCGCTCCAGTGGGAAGCACAAGCCAGTCGCCGAGCGGGGCGAGGAGCCCGGTGCGGGGCTCCTCTCGCGCGTCCGCGGGACCGAGCCCGTCGCCCGAGGGTGGGCCCTGATGCAGAGGAGGGCTCTCTGGTTCCCGAATCGCGCTCGGGCGATTGGGATGCAGCGCGGCCTCTCGCCGCGAGCTGGAGAGCACCATCCCGAGTCGTTGTGTCCACGGCCTTGGGGCCAGGCAGCGGCTTCGAGAGGTCGAGAGCTACAACAAAGGGGCCGTCACGACTTCATCCCGGACGTCCGCCGATCTGCCTTTGTCAGTCTGGGACCCCCGAAGTCCCGACTGCTTCCCCAAGCGTCTTTCGGTGGCCACGGGGCCCAGGAGTGGCCCCCGAGGGCCGAAGTCGGGGAGAAACGCCCGGACTGCAGGCGCCATCTCGCAGGAGATCGGGGCAGCTTCCCGCGAGCACCGAGGAGCTGTCCCGCGAGTCGCCCGCGTCGTAGGAGTCGTCCCCCACGACCTCCGGGCAGCAAGGGCACGCGGCGCGTGGCGGGGGAGGCGGCAGGGAAGAGGAGCCGCGCGGGGATCTGCAGCCCCATGCTGAAGCCTCTGGAGGTCCCGAGTCCAAAAACTTGTCATCGCTCGAATGTCCAAAAACTTGTCATCGGCTTCGTGCGTTCATGTGTTCGCAAGTTGGTCCCAGATGCTCCTGGATGGCCCTCGCCGAGAACAAGCGCACACGTCGAAGCGATGCCAAGAAAAATGTACATCCGTTGACGGCGCAACTTGTCATTCCGCCGAGCCGCTGGCGTCCGCCCCCGCTTTCTTCGATCGGCTGCCGTCAATCTTCCGCCGCGTTCCAAGGCACATTTGTTTGTTCCTGGAAGGCGTCATGTGGAAGACGGAAAAGATGGGAAGCAGCGCCAGGATGACCAGGAAGGGGGGTGGTCCCCTGCCACCTCTCGCCGTGGAAGTATCACGACGAGAATCAGTGGGCCGCTTTCTGGCTCTGAGGACCCTTGCCGGGCCTCGGGACCATCAGGAGACGGCCCCGCATGGGGAGGAAGGAGGAAGGAAGAGGAAAACGACGCTGTGGATAGGGAGCGGGGCGTTCCGTACCCGTGCCTGCTCAGACAAGGCAATGCGCTGGACGGGGTCTTGAACTGAACCTCCTTCTGACTGGGCTATTGCGCTGGTACAATGGCGGGGTTTGCCGCAAGCTGCCGATAACTCATCGCCCGTAACGAGCGGCGACGCTGATACGTTAACCCGCATCCTCCTACCCCGCGGCATGTAATACCGCGCGCCGTGACGATAATGATGATGATGAACAAAGCATGATGATGGCAATGATGATAATGCGAATGATAATGCTAATAATGCTAACACTAACAATGCATTCATCCTGCTAATAATATGTTTAATAGTCGTATCACTTAAAGCAAAAAACGCAACACCTATTATAACATGAAATAGCCGTGCCCGTATCCTGAGGAGCACCTGCACGCTGGCCCTACCTTGCCCGACGCCGCCCCCAGCATCGGTCGATAGAGCACACCAGTGGAGCGAGAGGCGTCGGGAACTTCGGCGCTCCCTGTGACGGGAGGAAGGAGGGGTGACGACGAGAGAGGGAGGAACACGCGGAAAGAACAATTGTTATACCAATAACAACAATAAGAAAAGCGAGCAGCGAGCAAGCAAGCGCGCGGTGCAGCCGGGGGGCGGGGACCATGCGGGCGGCCCTGACTAGGCATGGCGGTATGCCCTCTGCACAGGAGGGGAACGACTAGACGTAGGAATGCGAGACGACGCACACCACGCACGGGCACCACACTGACTTGGAAGCACGTGTCCCGCCCCGCTTCTGGCTCCCCAGAACATCGACGTGCGGTTCCCCCGAAGCCGAGCGGGGAAGGCGCACGTAAAACATAGGATGACGACCTCCTCCTCCTTCTCCTCGTCCCCCTCCTCCTCTTTTTCCTCCCCAGAACTCCCGCGTCGCGTTTTTCCCTACAACGTCGACTGTAAGAGGTCAGGACCCCTTCAGCAACCTAGCTCATGCCGCTGGCAAACGTGAGCGTGCCACTCGTCGTGGCAACAGCTCACTTCTCGCCCCGTGTACGTTCTGCTGCTTCGCTCTCACGACCAAGTTCATTCTTCGAGATTCAAGCATTTCCTGAGCACCACGCTCCAAAGCTGAGCAACGACTACGACCATCAGTGGCCACCCTGAAGCAGCGGCAACAGCAGCAGCAGCGCCATCAAGCAAGGCGGCCAGCAGCAGCAGCAGCAGCAGCAAAGGCAGAGAAGACAGGTCACGAAGGGACAGAGCAAGCAGCGGCAGCAACATCAGGAGCTCCTCCGCCTCCTCCACCTCCTCCTCCATCTGCTCCTCCTCTCCCCTCCTCCAAGAATATCGGCACCACTTTCAGGCATTACCATCTGAGCCGGGTCGATCCGCGAGGTCCCCGAGGCTCCCGGCAGTAGCGCCCGCCATGCTCCTCTCTCGGGGGCGCGCAAACATGGACTAGCGATCCGTGGATTTGGCGCGCGGTCGCCAAATCTACCGATCGGGGGAGGTGCCCTTCCCAAAATGCGGCCGGTGCCGCCTCGTTCGGCGGCGGAAATCCGCGATTTCCCATGGGACCCGTCCGCTAATCCACGTCCCCTTGATCCATGTTTGAGATCGCCTGACTCTCTTGGCGAAAACATCCGAAAGTCCCCGCCCTCCGTCGGGGCTTTCCGGGGCTCTCTCGGCGACCGCTTTGGCAGGCCGTCTTGGGGCTCCCCTGGGCCGCCGAAGGACATCTCACGGGCCGTTTCCTGACGCTTCTTGGGGCGGCTTTGCCGATGCATCCATCCACGACGCCACCCGTTCGATGAGCGAAGCGCCGAAAGAGGCAGCAAAGCCCACCACCAGTCCGCTGCCCCAGCCACACGAGGCCAGGGAAGCCTGCCCTTCCGAAGGATGGCAGACTGCGTGACTTTGGGGTGGGTTCCTGGGCCTGCGCCACCTTCTGCCCCCCGTCCCCCCGGAGATCTTCAGAAGCCACACGAGGTGCCTCCGGAGGTGCCTCCAGAGGTGCCTCCAGGGGACCGAGCTGGGATGCCCGATCCTCGATCCTCCTTCCCTCATCCTCTTGCTCCTCCTGCCCTCTCTTTCTCTTCTCTTGCCCGGGCCCGAGCCCTGGCTGGGATGACCGCCTGCAACTACGAAGAGTTGCCCTGAATCTCCTCCTCGTCCTGCTCCTCGTCCGTCTCTCATCTCCTCCTCCTCCTCCTCCTCCTCCTCCACCTCCTCTTCCTTCTCCTCGATTCTCGATCCTCTCTCTCTCTCTCTCTCTCTTCCTCCTGTTCCTCCTCCTCTTCCTCCTCCTGCTCCTGCTCCTCATCCTCCTGCTCCTGCTCCTCCTCCCCCTCATATTTCTCTCCCTCCTCCTCCTTCTCCGCCTCCTCTCTCCTTCTCCACCTCCTCCTCCTCCTCCTGTTCCTCCTCCTCTGCCTTTTCCTCCTTCTCCTCCTTCTCCTCCTCCTCTGAGGGGGGACGACAGGGGGGGAACCAGCTCGGAAGAGAAGCGTGGGCGTGGAATCGGCGATGCATCGCCGGCGTGCCTTCAATAGCGCAACCGCACGCTCTTGGGCGGGGATGGACCATCAGGTCCTTGAAGGGGCCCTGGGACACACACATAAATACACACAAATAACAAGATTCCCCATATTTCCCATATTTTCTGGGTTTTTGTCTTCCCCCCCACTTCCCATATTTTGTATATTTTCCTGGGACTCGACGATTACTTGTGTCTGTGTGTGTTTTCCCTCCTGAGTTCTTGTTGGCGATGAATGGGCGATTGGGGGTCGATGCGTTTCCCCCTGAAGCTATCCCCCGCCCCTGGCGTTGCTCCCGACCTTTCTTTGCTACAGGGCCAAATCCTGATTAGGTGTCGAATCGACTTGGGTGTAAACCTATTGATCGCGTCGTGCTGCACAAATTAAGCGAGGGCGCTCAGGGTGCCCGCTAGTGCCAGTGCCCAGTTCCAAGCATCGCAAGCAATGGCAACTGTCGTCGTAGTTTGAGAAACCTAGCCATGTGCGCAACGCCCGTGCAGTCCCTGGCGGTAGGGCAACGCGCGTCAGGCGCGTTTCCTCGCTGGTCGCCGCTGTCAGCTCCCCGTGGGTGAGCTCTTCGATGAACGCCGTGTCAACGCCGATTGATGCCGAGATTCACTCAGGATGAAAAGCTGCTGCGCTGGCAAGCAGTCGTCGTGAGTGCGACGAGAGGCGCCCGAGAAAGTCTCGATGTCGAATGCCTCAGTATCCATGAAGCCTCAGAGTGCGAATCGTAGACGAGCGCTGCAAACCTGTTCGCCTTGTTCGTCTTCTACGGACTTCCATATATGCAAGATGCTTGAGGTCATGACATTTGGAGCTTCCGAAAAGTCATATATCGAAACGCTTGGGGCCAAGCTCTTTTCGGTCCCACGCGGAGGGCTTCGCTCGCAGTAATTCGATGTTCCGCGATGTCCGTCTGGGTAAATAAGTCGTTTTCTGTAACCGCCACTGCGCGTCTTGCGGCAACCGATGCGAGCGCGCGCATGGTTGCCGCGTCACCGTGGGTCAGGGGGTCCTGCTGCGCGGATGCACGGATGGCGTTCGCCATGTCGGCGGCGAAGCACAATTCAATGAACTGGTCGAATTCGTGTTCGTTCATCTGAGGTCCGTCGTCGACGTCAGTGGAACAGACAGAGAAAGAGAGAGAGAGAGAGGAGGCAGCAACCGCCGCTATCAGGTTCGTCCCAGAGCGAAGCTCAGACAACCCCTAGCACGTCGCTGCTGCGGTCCATCGCCGTGGCAGAGGCCATCGCGGTGGGAACAGGACAGATATCGCTATCGCAAATGGCGACGCGCCGCAGGTCCTGGCGTAAGTCGTCATTCCAGTCTTCGAGCATCATCACCGTTATCGCTTTCCTTGTATGTGGCCGACAAGGGCCGTCGCTGTAGTCAGACAGCATTGGATATTCAGCATGATTCAGCGTCGCGTCGCTGCTTGGGCCAGCCCTGATTGGATGGAGGATCAGGTTATTCGTTCAATACTGCCAGATTTCCATCGACGGTCGTGGACTAGCTCGAGGACATGAGACGCTGAATGCGACGGGAATGCGCGCTATCCGCGGTGGACACGCGCGGGCCGGCGCCCTCGCGGCCGTCGGAGGCTGCGGGGTGAAATCGGAAAGGGACGGAGCCCCCCACCAGAAAATCGGTTGCGCTTTAGCGTTCGCGTCGCACGCGCGGGCGAGGCGACGCTGGCTGGGCGTGCGAGTGGGATGGCCCCGCCGTCGCTTGGGCGATTCGGATGCAGTGGACCGCCCCTTTGCCCCCAGTGGGCGCGCGGTGGCTTTGGGTGCCCCGCCGCGGTGTCCTGTGGTGTCCCGTTGGTGCCCCGTCGGAATTCCGTCGGCGGTGGGCGGGCGGTGGCCGGGGGCGTCCCGCCTTGGCATCGATGAGGAAGTCGACAGTGAGGTCG